GTAATATTAACAACACTGTAATATTACCAACACTGTAATATTAACAACACTGTAATATTAACAACACTGTAATATTAACAACACTGTAATATTAACAACACTGTAATATTAACAACACTGTAATATTACCAACACTGTAATATTACCAACACTGTAATATTAACAACACTGTAATATTACCAACACTGTAATGTTAACAACACTGTAATATTAACAACACTGTAATATTAACAACACTGTAATATTATCAACACTGTAATATTAACAACACTGGAATATTAACAACACTGTAATATTAACAACACTGTAATATTATCAACACTGTAATATTAACAACACTGTAATATTATCAACACTGTAATATTAACAACACTGTAATATTAACAACACTGTAATATTAACAACACTGTAATATTAACAACACTGTAATATTAACAACACTGTAATATTAACAACACTGTAATATTACCAACACTGTAATATTAACAACACTGTAATATTAACAACACTGTAATATTAACAACACTGTAATATTACCAACACTGTAATATTACCAACACTGTAATATTAACAACACTGTAATATTAACGACACTGTAATATTAACAACACTGTAATATTAACAACACTGTAATATTAACAACACTGTAATATTAACAACACTGTAATATTAACAACATTGTAATATTAACAACACTGTAATATTAACAACACTGTAATATTAACAACACTGTAATATTAACAACACTGTAATATTACCAACACTGTAATATTAACAACACTGTAATATTAACAACACTGTAATATTAACAACACTGTAATATTAACAACGCTGTAATATTACCAACACTGTAATATTAATAACACTGCAATATTAACAACACTGTAATATTACCAACACTGTAATATTGTCAACACTGTAATATAAATAACACTAATATCAGACTGTAATAATAAGAGTACTGTAATATCTCAGTGTAATAATAACACACTGTAATACCACACTGTAATAAAACTAATATTGTAATATCACACTCACATATATTTAGAAAACTTTTTACATTTGGATGATCATTGGCGCAGTTTAGTGTATAATTTATTATGAGAAGTCATGCGTATGAATATACTTACCTCCACAAATTATTGAGGTTAGGCGGGACCAGGAGCTGAGTGAGCTCGGTTTGATGGGTATACGTTACCTAGCTAACACTCCGACAGCACTTCAAATCTCGAAGATTCATTCGTCTCCACTCACTCCGATTTAATAAGATTAGGCCTATTAAAAGAGGCTATGAAAACAGGGTGTTACCGGGATGGGTAACTTGGTTGATTTATTAGGTTTTAAACCTCTCGAATAATAATAATAATAATAATAATAATAATAATAATAATAATAATAATAATAATAATAAAATAATAAAATAATAATAATAATAATAATAATAAATAATAATAATAATAATAATAATAATAATAATAATATAATAATAATAATAATAATAATAATAATAATAATAATAATAATAGCAACAACTTTAATAATAATAATAATAGCAACAACATTAATAATAATAATAATAATAATAATAATTATAATAATAATATAATAATATAATAATAATAATAATAATAATAATAATAATAATAATAATAATAATAATATAATAGCAACAACAGCAATAATAATAATAATAATAATAATAATAATAATAATAATAATAATAATAATAATGATAATAATAATAATAATTATGATTTAATTTTACAAACAACTACAGTGTTCAAAAAAGTCGTCCGAGGACGTGACTGTCATACAGACAGACATAATTAATGGGCTCACCAGCCAACAGGTGCGTCGCATAATAATGTAATTAGAGAATGAGTGTAAAGATTAAGGAATGAGCGTTAATTAAAGGAAAAAAAAACTCCACGTTGAGCACAAGACACAGAGATACAGCTGCTCAAGATCCCTAACTTAGTTGAAGGGTTCCTGATCCATGGAACTGGAGATATAGTGAGTTATACGCATCCAGGTATAATGGCGAATTTAGATTCAACATATTGAAATGATGAGGTGAAGAGAGTGGTAAAGGAGAGTGAGTGTAGATGGTAGAGGAATGATCGGAGGTGTGATGAGTCAGTGAGAGTCGTGAAGGAAAATGGGTTTAGATGGTAGAAGAATGATCGGAGAGGAATAAAGTAATAAGGATAATAAAGGAGAAAAAAAGAAGATATCAAGTGAAAGCTTTTTAACAGTGTAAAATTGATGTACGGATGCAGAGTACATTGAGAGAAAAATTATTAAAATATTGATTATGAAGGGCAGATGAGAGAATGGGTGAGTCTTCGTCAGAAAATTCTGAGGCGAATACGAAAAAAAATAAGTTTTTCAGTGAGATAAACATGAAAGGAAAAACCTGAGCAGTAAATCGAAATTGGCATTTATGTGTAACAGACGAAAAAATGTCGGATGCGGAGGTGATGCATCTCAGATATGGAGAGAATGTGTTGAGGAACGGATAAATGTGGATGATAGAAAGGAAATTTCTTATTTCATGCATGAGGCAGTAACGAATAGACTCAGGTTGGAGGAGATTTGAATACCCAGTGGGTGGGAGTGGACGGATTGAAAGAAGATAAAGCAGCTGAGATAGATGGGGTTGAGATTGAGAAGCTGAAATCAAGTGTGGATGTTGTACTGCTGAAGTGGTTGGTACATTTGTGTAATGTATGCATGAAAGAATTAAAAGTTTCAATAGACTAGGAGAGAGAGCATGTATATATTCCCTGAATAAGGAGAGAGACATGATAGAGTGTAATAATTATAGGGAAATATATCTGTCGTATATAACGGATAAACTGACTGGGCTAATTATTATCGACAGAGTTAGGGGAAGAAGAGAAAGTCATACTGCCGAGGAACAAGGAGATTTTAGGATGGGAAGCGAATGAGAGGATCAAGTGTTTTCCTAAATCATATTTGTGAACAATTGTTTTGAAGTGGATCGCTGCCTAAAGTGTAATCCAATAACCTTATATAAAATCAAAGACCACAGTTAGAATCTACGCCATATAGAAAGGATCCTAACAACTTAGTACTCTTTAAAATAGGATTCAATCATTTTAAACAGGATTCAATCCCAATAAGTAGGATACAAACGCCATAAGTATCATCTGAATACCTTCATTATAAAAACAGAAAATTAAATTTGAATCTTTTTCCGAAAGTAGAATCTGATCACACCGAGGAGAATTTAATTCCTCTAAATAGATCCTAAGTTTCTTAAGACCCAGGTTCCTTAAATAACATCAGAGATATTCTGGGTAGGGACCAGAAACAGAGAGTTAACCAACCCTTACATATGTAATGTACAAACCAGGAATATAATCCAACACGGTAGAATCCAGCACATTTCATTTCCTCCAGAATGACTAAATAGATTCCAACCTCCTAAATGATGAACGATAGTGTAAGCCACTATGTTAGCTAGAAACCTTCATTGCTACGTTTGGTCCAGGACTGGACTTAATGCAAGACGTTCTTGCCAGACTTACCCAGGTCACCATCAGAAATAAATAACTCGCCAGCCTTGATCTCACCTCTCTCTTTACTCCAGTTCCCATTGACAGGGCTATTCACTTTCTCCTCACTTCCAGTATTGATGTTCCTAAACAGGATTTTAAAGGTCTCATAGAATTATGTGATAAGTTCACCCTCTTCCTCTTTGGTAATGACGTCCTCGAGTAGAAATATGGCATGACGTCTTGGCTAGCCTTTACCTCCAACACGTCGATAGAGAGATTACTCAAAAAACATTATGTTAAAACATCACAGAGCTGAGATATACTGACGACGTTTTGGCCATCGTCTTTGGATGCTTTAATATTAACCAGTTAAAGACACTCTGAACTCTGTAGACCTAACCGTACAGTTTATTCTGGAGGAAGGAAAATACCACTTCCTACCATATCATGAAATCCTCTTCAACAAGGAATGTTCAGATACACGGTTTATAATTATCCTTTATTGACGTCCTGCTCATCAAGAACGGGAACACTGAAACACTGGGTTTATAGTAAATCCACCAATAAAGATGACTTGATAGGCTATTTTTTCCACCGCGACCCCAAGATTAAACGCACAGTCGTCATATTTTTTTTTCTCCTCGAGCTTCAAATTTGTGAGGAGGAATTTCTTGAAGAGCAAAAGTTCACCGAGGAAGCTCTCAGAGCTCTTAAGCTTCCACAACATTCCACGCCTGTAAAAAGACAGTCTTACTCATCCACAACACTCCCAGGGAAATAGCATTGATCGTCTTGCCCTCACCACAGGGCAGGTTGCCTCCGCTATCACCCAGCCCTCCTCAGTACAGCTAACAGTAACATTGCTGACCACAAAAGCCATCAAAAACATCACCAACACCACCACTGCTACTGGGATTTACAACATTCCGAATGAAGTATGTAGTGAGGTACACATCAACACATCATTGAGACAGGACGTAACTTTCAGATTCGCCTGCACCAAAACAAATACATTTTCAGGACGAATCAAATCAGAATTGCATGAATCGTTCACTACAAACTACACTCGTACATCATGAAGTATGGAGTAGCACAAGTTACATCAAAAAGACGATTAAATCACACCCAGGATTCTAGATGCAGCCACTGTGCATTTATGTGACACTATCGAACATAACAAGAGAATGTACACAATGGCAGGTCCTACACTACCCCTTAACCCCGCACATCAGCACCTAAAACATGACCTCACTCGTTACCTCATAACCTCTCCCGAGGATATGAGGTAACATATTTCTGTCATGGTACTGTTCGGTTCTGGATAAAACGTCAGCGTTTTACTCAGTTAAACAGTGTCTAAACTCCTTGGGAAGAACACCCGTTCAAGGATTGTTAGAATCCCCGGCAAGTGAACTCGCACGAGCGAGAGGCTCAATGTCTTACTAGTGTAAATTACGAGACACTTTAAATTACCAGACAATATTGCCAGAGTCGTCCCTCCCAACCCAGTACCTCCGCTCTTATTTCCTCACACCTGTTCCAACACCTGCGATCAACGGGTTCGCTTCCAGCGGGTTTGGTCAACGGGTTCGGTTAAAGATACCGGTCAACTTCTTTGGCCGAAAGGTGACTCTGCAAGTATGTAAGATTCGCGTTCTCTATGTAGGTATAGTTTGATGGTCGCGTAGATATTTAGATTTTGCCTTCTCTTCTTTCTCCCTAAAGTTCTTTCGTTTCTTTTAGCTCTGCTTCTTATTTAGTCCTACTCCTTCTCTTTCCAGTTCCTCCACCTTCCCTATCTTTCACATTTAATTCGTTTTAAATTTATTCTCTCTCTCTCTTTCGCTAACATAGTTTCTCAAGAACATGTTAAATTTTCAGAGGCAATAAACTACAGGGAGTGATAAGAACCAAAATCCAATCAACAAATGGAGTAATGTCGCCCTAAACTACAGTCAAATAATGCCACACTCTTTAATCAAAGCTTTCCAAGGACAGAATAGCATTGTATTGTCTCAAAAACCTCACGTTAATTAAGATAGATTTTTTTTTCGATTTAAATCTGTCTCCGTGTCTACTCTGTTTATGTTTCTGAGAATGTTTGTGTTTCTGAAAATGTTCGTTTCTGAGAATGTTTATCTCTCTGAGAATGTTTATCTTTCTGGGAATGTTTATCTTTCTGAGAATGTTTATCTTTCTGAGAATGTTTATCTTTCTGAGAATGTTTATCTTTCTGAGAATGTAATGTTCTTCTGAGAATATTTGTTAGTGAAGTCTCAGGAAATTGAGTGACAGTGCCCCGTTTTCTATGAGCTATTGTTCTCTCGTTTTCTGTTACCGTCTGTGCTTTCATTTTCTGTTACCTTGGGTATTGCTGTTTTCTGTCAGCTTCTGTACTCCCGTTTTTTGTCACCTTCCTTAATCTTGTTTGCTCTCATCCTCTGTTCTACCATTTCCTGTCACACGCAATAACCCCTTTTTCTGACACCCTTTGTGCTCCCGTTTTCCGTTTTGCATTACCCTATATACTCCCGTTTTCTGTGACCCTCTGAACTCTCATTTTCAGTCATCGTCAGAATTTCCATTTTCTGTCACCATCTGTTCTTCCGTTTTCTTTCCCTCTCATTAGGACTAACTCGTCCTTTCCCTTCTCCCATGCTATTGGCTGATGCAATATCTACATTTCACAAACTTTTTTCTGATTGGCTGACCTTTACCTTTCATTCCATTCTATTGGGCCATTAATTTCCCCAACCATTTTCCCCTCCTGACTTGCTTCTTTTTGTGCTACAGCTAATTTTCTGTCCCTCTGATTGGCTAATATTTCTACTTTAGTTAATTTTTCTCTTATTGGCTAATATCCAACTATTCCACAGTGTTTATGTAACTCAGATTCCAAATGTAAATCATTTTTTACCCTCTCTGATTGGCTGATATTCCTACTGAATCAAATTTTCTGATCCCGCTATCGGCAAATATTGCTGCTGTAACCTATGCTCTGCCACTCTTGATTGGCTAATATGCCACTCTTGATTGGCTAATATGTCTAATATAGCAGTTTTTCCAGTTATCTAATATTCTTGCGGTAGACCATTTACGGTCCCTCTGCTGGTCTGCAGTCGAGACCTTGAGCGGTCTAACACCTGCAGGAGTAATGCCAATTTATGAGTGTAATTTATGGATGAGTTAGGTTCATACAGTTACTTACATTATTCATTTTGAATTGTTAGTGCGTATGAAAAACGCACGTCTTGTAAATGCTTTTGTTCTTGCTGTGGTTGTTATTGGTGGTGGTGGTGGTGGTTGTGGTGGTGGTGGTGTGTGTGTGTGTGTGTGTGTGTGTGTGTGTGTGTGTGTGTGTGTGTGTACTCACCTATATTTGGTTGCATGGGTGAAGTCACAGCTCCTAGACCCGTGTGTGCGAGTGTGCCTCTGAAACTGACCTCTTCTGGGTTCATTCCCTCTTGATTTCGGAGACCCTATCATACCTAATTGAAACTATATATATATATATCATGCCTCTTACATTGCTGACATCCCTGTGTTATTAATATCCAGCTGTGCCCATGTGTACGTGTTTCCAGCCTCTTTAACAGTTTATCCCTGTCTATACTATCAAGCCCTCTGGGTATTTTGTATGCCGTTATCATGTCTTCCCAATATTAATTCTATCTTCTAATATCGTCACTTCACTTCCTTCAGTCTTTGTCCCAAGTGCAGTAACCCGAGCTCTGGAACTTGTCTCGTTGCATATCTTAAAAAATTCTGAGTTTCTTAACATATTTTTTTATTGACCATGATTTATCAAGTGAAGGTTACATACTGGTGATGCTTACTCTAAACTAGGCCTGGCATTTGTTGCAGAGTCACAGATGACTGTTGAAAAAGGAGAAGCAAAAGTAGAAGAAGTAGAATAAGTAGTAGAAGAAGAAGAAGTAGAAGAAGAATTAGAAGAGGTAGAAAAAGAAGAAGAAGTGGGGGAGGAGGAGGAGGAGGAGGAAAACTTGAGATGCACTCAAGAAGAAGTAAATTACACCACTTACATTTTTCTAACGTAACTGCAGAGTGGAAGACGAAGGAGGTTAAAAAATATCGTTAATTAATCACAGGTTAAATTGTTATGCTTCTCAAGTTAGAACTAAACTTGTTACCTTGTGTCTTTGAGACCCATCTACCACTCCCATCTACCACTCCCATCTACCACTCCCATCTACCACTCCCATCTACCACTCCCATCCACCACCATCTACCACCATCATCTGTCAGCTCTGTTTCTTTGACCCATCTATGACCATTAACTACCACCGCTCCCGTCTATCACCATCATCACCATCTTCTACCACCATAATCACCATCATCTACCCCATCACTATCTACCAGCATCACCATCGTCTACCAGCATCATCATCTACCAGCATCATCACCATCTTCCACTAGCATCATCACCATGTTCTACCAGCATCATCACCATCTTCTACTAGCATCATCTTCTACCAGCATCACCATCTACCATCATCACCATCTACCATCATCTACCAGCAACATTACCATCTACCAGCATCATCTACCAACATCATCACCATCTACCAGCATCATCACCATCTACCAGCATCATCACCATCTACCAGCATCACAATCTACCAGCATCATCACCATCTAGCATCATCACCATCTACCAGCATCATCACCATCTTCTAGCATCATCTACCAGCATCTATCAGTATCATCAATATCTTCTAGCATCATCACCATCTATTACAATCACAATCTACCAGCATCACTATCTAGCATCATCTACCAGCATCATCTAACATCTTTTATCAGCATCATCTACAAGCATAATCTACCAGAATCATCTAGCATCATCTCCATGTTCTTCAAGCATCAATATCTTCATCTAACAACATCATCATCTAACAGCATCATCATCTACCAGCATTATCACCATCTTCTACCAGTATCATCTACAAGCATCATCACCATCTACCAACATCATCGACCAACAACCACTACAGTCATTACACCTTCAACCACAACTCAGATAAACTACTAAAACCACCATCACAACCATCACCACCATCACCACGACTACAACCACCACCACCATCAACCTCAACTACCATCATCAATTACCCAAGTTGCCAGCTGTTCAGCATTCGCTTTAAATAACCCAATTAACATTAATATAATTATTATAACAATTGTATTCCCTTCAATTTGACAACAGCTGCAGACTTGACAGCTGTCAAGTCAAACTCAGTGAATAATATTCACAGGGTTAATAAATTGTGTTCACACAATATTATACATTTATTCACAAATTTTGTTATTTTAAGTAAAGGTTTTGAAGCCCAGCTACATTATATATATATATATATATATATAATATATATATATATATATATATATATATATATATATATATATATATATATATATATATATATATATATATATATATTATAAGTATATAATATATTAGTCTACAATATGTAAATGGCAATTAGAAGACTCTTTTAAAATTAAGTCTTTTCTAAATTTTTCTCTTATACATTTAAAGATGTATTTTTTTCATTAATGATAATGTAAAAATTTATAATTTTGCACCAAAAGAATCTTAGGAAACTTACCTAACTTTATTATAACAAGGACAATTTATTTTAGCCTAACCCAACTAAATATATTTTAGATATGTTTACAATAATTTAATACTAAACAAACACAGTGAAATATATATTTTTCGTTAGGTTCAGAATTATTTTGGCGAAATTACTGCATACACAAATTTTCGCTTGTCCTATATGGCAAGATGAGCGTTGCTATTTAAGCCAAGATCGCAAGTTTTGCCTGTTCGGCACGACACACACACACACACACACACACACACACACACACACACACACACACACACACACACACACACACACACACACACACACACACACACTTCACTAACGTAACATTTCCAACACATTACACCCTCGCCCAGACAGGCAACACCTCACCATGCACGACAGGAAATGAAGATTATTAAACCGAAGCTCCCATTAAGAAGACAGAGAGTGTGGGAGACCACTGTCTTCCCACTGAGCTTACACTCACCTTCTTCCCCTCCCCCTTTCCCCTAACCCTGCCTCCTTCCCCTTTCCTCTCTTCCCCTCCCCCTTTCCTTTAACCCTGCCTCCTGCCGCTTCCCTCGTTTCCCCTCGGCCTCCCTTCCTCTGCTCTTATAGTCAGATATCATGGAATAACAAATGTCTTAGGTTAAACAGCAGGAACAACGCCTAGTGAACATCGTACGAGAGAGGGAGAGAGAGAGGCAGGGACAGAGAGAGGCAGGGAGATAGACTCCTAAGGCTAAGCTTCTCCTTAGTAAACATGCTAAGTTGTATGGGCATAAATTGTGGCCTGAGTGGCTGTAACCCGTGTAATAGAGGTTCCAGTGATCTTGTTCTTAGCTGTGTGTGTGTGTGTGTGTGTGTGTGTGTGTGTGTGTGTGTGTGTGTGTGTGTATTTGTAGCTGCTGGGTTCAGTCTTTGGCCTCTGACTGAGCCACTAAGGATTTCCCGACCGTCACTACCTTTCATCCGGCCTCTTGAGCACAGTCAAACCCATTCCTGCAACACTCACCGCCTCCTCCTCCTCCAGTCCATTTCACTAGCCTAC